CCTTGTCCACTAAGAGCCCGTGGGAGCTAATCCCATGGAACTTATGGTCATTAGACATTTGACTCAAGCTATCTTCTATGCGGTTGATAGTATCAACTTGTAGTTTTCTGCTAGGGTCGTTGACTTGGATAGTAAGATTCTTGAGCATCTCAATGAGTCCATTGATATTTTTCTTGATTTCATCAACTTATTATTAGGTAACCATTATCACAAACTTTTTTCTATGTTGAATTGGTTTGTCAAAGAGTAGAACTTGAACGAAGGTGTTGTCCTTGATTAGACGCCCTTCTCTCCTTTACAAAGTAATGTGGAAAGGGAATTCATGGATACTTACTATTAATTATTTGACTCAAACTAGACTCAACATGTAATAGATGGGAAAAGGACATGGTATATAAGCGGAATGATATGTATAGAAAAAACACATAAGATGAAGGTGGTGTATGAATGTGGAAAGTGTGAAAGACTAAAAGTGTGAGATATGTGATATATGAAAAAGCGATGTAGATGGAGAGATATGGAATAATTTGGAAATAGAATAAACCCTCAACTCAAATTACGGAAAGGACGACTCATGCATGGACCTAAGAAAGTGGGCTCATGCATGGTCATGGTGTGAAAAAAGCATGTACAAAAGTGGGCTCTAAGACTACTAAGTGGAAGTAATAGGTTCTGAATCGTGTAATGACCATTGTACTAGACTTACATTTGGTTATACTCGAATAAAGACTAAGTTAAGACCTCATGTATATACACTAAACTGCACAAGCTGTGGTATTTTGATCATAACTTTTGACCCGTGACTTCGAATTAGACGAAACCAACGTCAAGTGAAAGATAAAATCCGGGGATAGAGATTCATAGGTGGCACGACATGTAACTTTTTATAGAATTCTGGTTATGACTAAAACAAGTTGATTCTTTTGTAGGATACGAGAATAAAAATCCGGATTGACTCAAAGTAAATAAAAATAATTATGACTCTATTTGAGACATATTTGTAAGTTCAAATTAATTAATTAATTGAGAAAATTCCTTTTTAGTCATTATTTAGTTGGTTAAGACTTTATTTGTGAACACAAGTCAACACAAACAAATAGTTTAATCAAATATAAATATGCACAAGTAAGAGATGCACAAGTAGTCACAATAAGATGCAATGAGTTTGTAACCTTACCATGGCTCTAATTCTCTAAATTTCAAGAATTACGGTAGTTAAAGAGGGTCCATGTTTATGAGTCCGAATGCATCGCACGGAAGCCTTACCTTTGGAAGGGTTGGTGAGTATAGATGGGACCCCGCAAGTTAAACTTGCTTCATGGTTTGGTGAATTCACAAACTCTGATGTACCCTTCATTGCACAAAGCGTTCGATTGGATAGATGGAGCTTGAATTATCAAGGGCTAAATCCATATGTAGAACAAATACGGGTTTCAAAAAAGAATGAAATACTCAATCAGGAAGTAAAATCGGCTAAACATTCCTAGAATCAGTTACAACAAGAAGGCAGATTTCTGGCTTGGTGTTAGAAGAACTCGGCGCGAGAAAACAGGATCCATTGTGAGGAGATGACCTTGTCGCGTTGCAATAAAGCAATCGCAATGCGATGGTTACTGCTGTCTCGCAACAGTTCCTACAGTCCTCGGCGGCTTTATGTGTTCTCGGGATTTTTCGATTTTCGTAGCATTTTGTCGATTCTAGTTGTGAAAAAATATTTCCCAATTTTCTTACTTGTAAAAATCCTATGTTTTTTACGCATTATGTATGGTCTTTCAAATGCGGACCTTTTTATGTTTATGCCACAATGTTAATTAAAATTACGCACATGAATATTTAGAACGTTTCAACTCTCATCCACTCATTCTAAATCAATTGCCAAAATCCTCCCCAGCGGAGTCGCCAAAAACTATAGGAAATATTTCAGGTCACCTAACTTTTAGCCCCACTATGATCATACACTTTAGCATTGTGGCGTCCAAAATAATGGAAGGAAGCTAGAGTAAAAGAGTCACTAACAAATTTTACGAAATTGTAAATCGTCCATGAGGTAAAGGTTACATCCCATTCACGATCATAGAGATCGCTAACTCCATAATAGTCTTAATCCATGACTATATATTCAGGGATGATGGTACGAATCCAACCTAAAAGAGATTGAACTTGCTCTAAATAGGCCATTACTTTGTTCTTCTCATATTCATTTGCGCTTTTCAATTAACATGCAATCATTAAATTAATCCTAAACCTGTTTAATCCATGTTGATTGATTATTAAGGTACAAATAAGTCTATTATTGGCGATCACTTGTATTAAAATCACATTAGCCTAAATAAAATTATTAATTATCTTATTAGGCATGTTTTCAAGTACAAATTCCCATTAAACCTGCAAGAGAGGGAGTGATGATCAAGCTAAGCAATAACAATAATTTCAAGCAACCTGATAATATTGATACAACAAATCATCATCATCATCATAATATTCTCAAAGCATAATATTAGCAAGGTCATATGCATGATACTAACGTGATTAATAACAAATTCTAGCATGTTACTAAACAATAAAAATTAAAGCTTTATCTCTAACATGACACTAGAAAGCAATAAAAGCATCATAACATGATACAAGGAATTAATAAAATAATCTAAGCATGATTCCTATATCAAAAGAATAATTAAGTAATAAAATTACTTAATTTGAAGCCTCGTACCTCTTTGTATTAAAACAATACACACGTTAGTAACTTCAATGAAAATATTAAATCAAACAATAAAAATAATATTAATTGAAATATAGATTTGTGTCCAAACCCTTATAATTATCAACCTTTCACGTCGACATCTTACGCAACTTTGAGCCTGGCTAGATGTATTCAAGTATCGTGAAGGACGTATGGTGTATATGTATGAAATTTTTTTGAGAAAGGTTTAGAAAATCAAGAAATCTAGAAAGATTAAGCTTTCCCTTAGAGAGAGAAGAGAAGATTGATGATAATTGTGGGTGATTGAAAATGGAGGGAAATTGTCCCTATTTTTAGAGAAAAACGACCAAAAATGATCAGGAAAGAGTCAGAATTCGAATCTGAGTAAAACTCCTTTTAACATGTGGCGATGGGAGCATCCCCGCATAATAAAAAAAAAAACAATTTTTGGCAGATTTTGTTTTCATCATATCTTTTGATCCAGAAATCGAAATAAGACAAATAATATGTTGTTTGAAATCTCTTGAAGTTTACTTTCCAACACTATTAAAATCAAATTAAAGTATTTTTTAGAATAAAAGATATGGCCAAAATAGTGAAAGGGTGTCAGTTTTGAATAGAGTTTCATATTTCTTTCGTATGTTTTTCATTATAGCTCAGAATTAATATTATAATATAGGAAAAATACACTTTATTAATCCCAACTTTGCCCAGTTTACTTTAAATTATCCCAACTTTCGATTATTCTGAAACAATCCCAACTTTCACCTGCGTTTTCTTTCTTCAATCTCAAACCGGTCAACAAAAGTCCATGACCTCTTATTCTAGGTAACTTAACACATGTCAAATTGTAATTGGTTCAAAAACTAAAAAAATAAAAAAAATATTAAAGAAAAATTCAATTAAAAAAAAAGAAGAAAAAACCAGCTAAGCCAAGCCACCAAAGCTCACAACCGCTGGCGGTGGTCACTCACCCCAAACCACCATCTCCGTAGCCCCAACCCCCAAAACCTCCCCAGGAATCACCCTACCACCGTGAAACCGACCCATTCAGCCTTCCCCCACCCCCGAACTAGCCAAAGCCAAAACCCTTGCCCTAAACCAGCCACCCATATAACCCAAAACAACCATAACCTAGCTGACGACCTTGAAACCGCCACCCATAACACCCGAAACCACCATAACCAAAGTCGAAGACCTTGAAACCACCACCATAACCCTCGAAACCAACTGTAACAACAACCCTAACCCTTAATATCACTCCTCCAACCCGCAAAACCACCAAAAACGCAGCCCCCACTAGTAGAAAAAGGCCTATTTGCGTCGCTCATTTATAGTGTATTTGCGTTGCTTCTATGAGCGACGCAACTGCTCGCGACGCAAATGACTTTTAAGTCATTTGCGTCGCTCCTAGGCGCGACGCAAATAAGAGTCATTTGCGTCGTTCCTTTATAAAGGAGAGACGCAAATGACTTTTTTGATAAACTTATTTTTTGTCATTTGCGTCGCTCCTTTATAAATAAGCGACGCAAATGACTCTTCTGACAAACTTATTTTTTGTTATTTGCGTCACTCTTTTATAAAGGAGCGACGCAAATAACTCTTCAGATAAACTTATTTTTTGTTATTTGCGTCACTCCTTTATAAAAGAGCGACGCAAATGACTTTTCTGATAAACTTATTTTTAGTCATTTGCGTCGCCCCTTTATAAACAAGCGACGCAAATGACTCTTCAGATAAACTTTTTTTGTTATTTGCGTCGCTCCTTTATAAACAAGCGACGCAAATAACAAAAAATAAATAAACTTATTTTTTGTTATTTGCGTCACTTGTTTATATAGGAGTGACGCAAATGACTGAGTAGACAATACAAAACTGCTGTATTTGCGTCACTTGTTTGTTTAATGAGTGACGCAAATGAGGTGATTTTTTTTTTATTATAATATAATAATTGCCTTGTATATGTTTGTAGTACATGTTTTCCTAGGTATAAAGTAATATGCTAACGCTAATATAATTGAAATTAAAATGCAATATTATTGAATAATGTAAATGTAAATTTCGGCAGAGTCTCCTTTGTAATTTGGCCTACCCATAAAATTTCCAAACCATGTTTCTTAACCAAATCAACGTATAATACAACTCCAACTTCTAGACTTAAACTTAAAGGTAGAAGTACCTCAACAGCTCAACCTAGAGTTCAAAACGTGGTAACTACTGATTACTGACTATAGTATACAATTTCGCCCAAGCGAGCAAGAGGCATATGGCAGCTTGCCTATTGTGACCAGAAGTGAGACAAAGCCCTTCCATTTTTGCAGGCCGCAACACACTCAAGCACATATTCTCTGAGCTTCTTCTGGACTTCTTCCATTGGCAAGCAGGCATCAACCATCTGTTATCATTCAGCATCGTATGAAAATCTAGATGGCATTATTACGGAATTTGATGAAACAACAACTATCTCACAGAATCTAGTTAAAAACATAATTTACAAAAATAAAAAGAACATTGCAAGAAACTGGAACATGTTTAAGTAAAGAAAATTAGTATAACCTGCACTACATAATATTGCAGGCATCACTATAATGACACTATGCAAGATAAAGTCACCACTGTCAAACCTATTAACCTTACAGCCTTACCAAAATTGTACAGTCTGATGCAAGCTATGAAAAAACTAAGATTTGGTTTAACAACCATGTCTTAGATCTTACCAAGTAAATTAACCAATAAATAACAACATAGAAAGGAATTAGATTCAGCTAAACATAACATCAAACACATGGTATGCAACTCACAAATTATGTATAAAAAAACAATCATAAAAAGAAAAAAGAAACAACCTTTTCTCCCAACGATTAACACTGAACAAAAGATGAATAGTATGATCATCAAAATTAGATTGATTGGAAAGATAAGCAGAGATCATCTGCCCAACAGTAGTATTTCGATCCGGAAACCGCCATAACTCAGCAGAACACCCAATACTTTGCAAGTGAGAGAGAAGCTGAATACACTGAGAGCTCTTTCCACTTCGATCTAACCCTTCTAATACAACCAAAGCACCTCTTGATTGTAAATTGGGGTTTAGGGCAGAAACTTCAATTTTCTTGGAAGAATCATTCTCCATTTTTGTAGCAAAAATTGAACAATTTAACTGAAATTTAACATCCTGGTTTCTCCTCTGTGCTCCTGCAAAGTGCACCCAAGAAACAACTCAGATCAATATTTTGGTAATTAATATCGAAATCCTGCTTCTGTTGCAAAGGAAGATAACAAGGCATTAATTATACATCATTAGTAGTTATTACTTGTGAACTTCACTGTCATGTCTTTTCCTTGTCATCTGCCATGTAAATGGACTATTAGGATCCACACCAGGCTGTGAAATTTCCAAACCATGTTTCTTAACCAAATCAACGTATCCGAAAATTCAATAAAAAAAATGACAAAAGTTCTGTACTGAATAGCTCAAGTCATTAGAGGATATGATGCAGAAAGAGTGCTAACTTTTCATAATCAAAATTATCCACTCCCAAATCTTCGTCCCAGATAAATATGTAATCATATGGTGCCACAATGTCAGGATGTAGAAATCGTTTTGCATACCACCTTTAACCATACAATAAAAGAACGGATCAGTAAGATAAAATTGATAATTAATCTGACCCAATTGCCTTAAAAACTAGAGTACTAACCATTTCGCACTAGTTTGCAAAATTACCAAGCAGAGACACAATTATGAATCATGTAAGAATAGCCAAAGTTTGCAAATAAAGCTTACTCAGCACACTCATTAATCTTCCCCGAATTCTGGCTTTCCCCAATATTCAGAATCAAAGACTTGTTTTCATCCAAGTACTGCCAATATTTAAACCAACCAAAATTTAGAAATCAATAAGAAAAAAATATTTCCAGATGAGAACTAACCAAGCAGTATATATAGATGAATCGGCTAATAGACTAGAATCATAAGTGAATTAATGTAACAAAGGATGAATATGTCATGCATAATCAAAGTGTATTACAGTACATATCAATTTTTACTTAAGCATAAGGATCAAATGATCTGCAATTAGCAATGTTTTAGAATCTACCCCGGTAGCCCTAGACTAAGATAAAAAGCAATGCATACAACACCATTCCCTTATATAATTTCATATGTATTAATTGTTTTATCAATGATCATTTGATTCACAATAACTTCCTTTTATTCAACCATTTACAAGGGAACATACAGATTCTCCATTTTAATGAATCGGAGATGACAGTTGTTCATGCTTGAGAATTACAAAAAAAAAAAAAAATTGAAAATAATAATAATAATAATTCTGGGTTTTTCCTCCAGATTTAGGCCTTCAAAAGTAGCTTAATAGATAAGAAAACTTGATACTAGGTTTAAAAACAAGTTAAAAACCATCATCACTAAAAACCACTAGTTAAAAAAGTACATTTACACTTTTTTTCATTATTAGCCAAATAGTCATAACATTAGTTGAGTAAGAAATACTGACGTTGCCTCCTTTTCAATAAAGGTTTAAACTAAATTTATAATACCAGCAAAACAAAAAGGTCTTACAGAACTGATGAATATGTGAAGACCATTACAGGAGCAGACACCTAAAGCTTCATTACAGTAAATTTTAAGTTTGCTACACTTCAATGATTACACTGACATTTTATACTTCCATTTATATTTATATTTATATTTATATTTTCATGTTAATTCTTGAATTGCTTGTTGTGGTCCAAGTTCAGAAAAGGTTCAATTTCCAACTGCCGGAAAAGTTAAGTTTGGACCAAAAGGCAGATCTTAGGCCAGGGGTTGAACCATGCTCTTAAGGTATGTTGAACAGCATGCCAGCAATAATCAAGCTGCATGACAATATGTATGATGGATATCGACTTTTCGATGCTTACAAATGCGAGCATGTAAACCTTAATCATCTGTTAGGCTAATTACAACTAAGATAGACATAACAATGTATCACTCGACTGAAGTGCTCGTTCAACATGCTTCAATGACTAAACCCGAGATCATAATGGACTTTTTAATTGCAATTAAGGCAGTAATAACTTAAATCATCAAGTAATGTACATTTGTACTAGACTAGAATAGATTAAGGCAGTAATAACTTAAATCAAAGTTTGCAAAATTACCAAGCAGAGACACAATAATTATGAATCATGTAAGAATAGCCAAAGTTTGCAAATTAAGATTACTCAGCACACTCATTAATCTTCCCCGAATTCGAAGCCTTAAACCAAGAAAAGATTGAACATAAATAGAAGCAATCTTACCATAGGTGGAATTGACTTCAAAAATTCAACAATGTCGAGCCGAAATCGAACTTCAATTGTTGTTGCTGTAATTTGCTTGAACTTCCTCGGGTTTTTTGGGGCGAAATTAAGCGATTTTTCCACTCGAAAATTTCAGTTATTGCTCGAATTTTTGTTGCTGTAATTTCTTAACTTGAACCCAGAAAAAGACGTAATTCAAACAATTATTGTTGCTGTTATTTCTTGACTTAACCTATTGTTGCTGTAATTTCCTGACTGAAATTCGAATAAAAATTATTTATGACTGAAATGGGATGAATTTCTTAGGGTATATTGCGTCGCTGCCAAAAACCCTAGAAATCCCCCCACGAAATCCCCCAATCGAACTTGAAGACCGAAATTGAATTTTTTGGGGCTTTTAGGGTTCGAATTTGTATGCTTTTGAGTTGATTTTTTGCTCGAAATGGGGGATTTTTGGTCGGAAACAATCAATTTTTCTGGGTTTAAGGCTTCAAATTTCTTAGGGTTTTTGGTCTAAATTTTTGCTCGAAATTGCTCGAATTTGCAGCCGATTATGGGTCTTTTACCTCACTGCGATTTCAGATGTTAAATTTGCTGGGGAAACGTAAGTTTTTGGCCGAATTTGTTGGATTTCAGAGACAAATTTGTGGGTGTTTTGCTGTAGAAATTCGCTGGGATTTAAGAACTCTTGTTTTTTTTTTCTTTTTGTATAGTGAATGTAGGTACCTGATGAAAAACTAAGGTAAAAAACGCAGAAAAACCTAAAGCCAAAAGAGTTATTTGCATCACTTTATGATAAAAAAGCGACGCAAATAACCTTGTTTATAATGTTTTACAATGTACATATGCGTCGCTCATTAGTAAAAGAGTGACGCAATTTACTTAATCACTTATTTGCGTCGCTTGCTAACTAATGAGTGACACAAATAATTTTATTAATCACTTCTAGAAACTTCTAATAAATCTTTATGGTTTTAGAAATAATCTCTAAACCAAAACACACTACACCAAAAAAATGTCCTTCATGTTCCAAAATTAGTCAAAAATCTTATCTCTGTTAGGAAATTCTCTACTGATAATAATGTTTCCATTGAGTTTGATCCTTTTGGGTATTCTGTGAAGGACTTGCAGACAGGGAACAAGGTAGTGAGATGTAATAGCAGTAGCGATCTCTACCTTTTCTTCACTAGTCGTCAAGTTCTATCATCTTCTACTCCGTCGACTTTTACAGTTATTTCTCCTAGTGTGGGGAATTCCCTTCTAGGTCATCCCGGAAATGCAATTCTAAATTCATTGCGCAGTAGTAATTCTATTCATGTAATAAGGCTAAACAAGTTTGTCATTCTTGTCCATTGGGCAAATTAAGAAAATTGCCTTTTACTGATTCTATGTCTCATACTACTATGCCTTTTGATATTATACATAGTGATTTGTGGACATCTCCTATTATTAGTTCTCTTGGTCACAAATATTATGTTTTCTTTCCTAGTAATTACACGAATTCTTTATGGACTTTTCCTATCTCTTCTAAGTCTCAATTCTATAACTTATTTATTCGTGTTGGAACATATATTCACACTCAATTTGAGAGAGAAATTAAGGCCTTTCAATGTGACAAAGGCACTGAATTTAAAAATGAACCATTTGAAAAATTCGGTGACCAACATGGGATGACTTTCCGTCTTTCCTGTCCTTATACCTCTCCTCAAAATGGCCAAAAGAAAAATAAAAACGATCAATAATATTGTTGTACTCTTCTTTGTCATGCATCTATGCCACCATCCTTTTAGCATCATGCCCTCAAAAGGCCACTTACCTTCACAATATCTTACCTACAAAGCTTCTTGGTACGTTATAATTCTTCAACTCAGATTTTGTATCAAAAGCATCCCGACTACTATCATCGTAGAGTTTTTAGGTGTCTATGTTATCCTCTTTTTCCATAATCCAAAATACACAAGCTTCAACCTCGGTCTTCTTCTTGTGTTTTTCTTGGCTATCCTTCCAATCATAGGGGATATAAATTCTTTGATATTTCATCTAGGAAAATTATCATAGCCAAACAGGTATTGTTCGATGAGCCGGTCTTTCATTTTGCAAAAATTCATACTCCTAAATCTCATACATATGATTTTTTGAGTAAAGGTTTAGGCTCCTTTGACAGTCCTCTTTTGCGTCAACTTCTCACCCCTAGTGACCTCCACCATTCACCCGCACCTACTGGTTCCAATCAGCATGCAGGTGCTGTCCTCACATAGCCCACCCCATTGGGAGGTTGCGGTGAGGATGCATAGGCTGCAGCCCACCTGCGGGGTACACTACATCCGCACATTTCTTTCCATGCAACTCCCCTGCACTTCCCTCCTTCTCCTGGCTCTTCCTCGCAAGCGCACAACACCCCCCAGTACTCGGAAGTGTGACTTCATGTCACCTCCTGCCACCCCCGCCAGGATACAAGCGGGGGCTCACGAACTTGTCGTGGACGAGCCTCCTCTTTCTCCTTATCCCGTAGCAGCCCGTCCTCACCCTATGGCAACTCGTAGTTCTCATAGGATTATGAAACCAAATAAAAATTACCAAGATCGCTCTAGTCATACTTCTACCTCCTTATCACCTATTCCAAAAAATTCCCGAACATGCTTTACGTGACCATAATTGGAAAATTGCTATGCAGGAAGAGTATGATGCTCTTATTGACAATGGTACTTGGGAATTGGTTCTGCGACCGTCTAATGTGAACATTATTCGATCGCTTTGGATATTTTAGCATAAAACGAAACCTGATGGCTCTTTTGAGAGACATAAGGCTTGTCTTGTTGGTGATGGAAAAACGCAACGGGAAGGGATTGATTATGATGAGACTTTCAGTCCGGTTGTGAAGCCGGCAGCTATATGGCTTGTCCTTAGCGTTGCTTTATCCAGTTCTTGGTCTATTCATCAATTAGATGTGAGGAATGCTTTCTTACATTGTAACTTAAATGAAACAATATACATGTATCAACCTCCGGGGTTCAAAGATCCGGCTCGTCCTAATTATGTTTGTCTTTTTCTAAAATCTCTCTATCATTTGAAACAGGCACCCCGGGCTTGGTATCAACGTTTTCCTGATTTTGTGGCATCCATTGGCTTCAGTCACAACAAATCGGATACTACTTCTTTCATTTATCGCCATGGTAATGACACTGCCTACATTCTTCTTTATCTTGATGATATTGTGCTCACTGCTTCTTCGAACTCTCTAAGGAAATATGTCATTTTTCGGCTTATCTCTGAATTTGCCATGAAAGATTTGGGTCCTTTGAGTTATTTCTTAGGTATTGTCGTTACTCGACACAAAAATGGTGTATTTTTGTCTAAATAGAAATGTGCTCATGACATTATTAAGAAAGCAGGTATGACAAATTGCAACCCGTCTTCTACTCTTGTTGATTCGAAAGGGAAAATGAGCACTCACTCTGACATCACTTCTTATGAAGATCCTACTACTTACCGTTCCTTATGTGGGGCGTTACAGTATTTGACATTCACCCGCCCG